CTTCCACGCACAGCTGTCCCAGGTAAACAACCTGCCAGCTGGCCACGGCGGCGGCAGCGGTCTCCGCGCCGTACAGGGTGTCCCCTCCTCCAACGTCGCCCTCTCCTTCGGCCGCTTCACCTCCGGGGCCTTACGCCCCGGGGCCGCAGGGCCCTCCTGGCAGCCGTCCAGCATGCAAAGACAACTCACGTTTGGCAGCGGCGGCGGCGGCGACGGCATCGCCAGCGCCGCCGTCAGCATTAGCGGCGAAGCCGCCGCCGTGGCGGCGGCGGGGACGGGTCCGGGGTCGCTGGCGTCGCCGCCGCTGCCGCCGTCTGTCGCGATGTCTGTCGCCGAGGAGGCGACGGCGTACTCGCTGCCGGGGTCTCCGTCCCCTAGGGCCGCAGCAGCAGGGGGGGTAGGGGTAGGGGTAGGGTCTTCGGATCCGGCCTTGGGGTTGAGGTTGGTGACTGTGGAGTCTGATATGTCTCGTCTGTTCGAGGCATTCAAGGCGTTTGGCGAAAAGGTAAATTTTTGTACGCAATACTTTGCCATCATACTCTCTATTAAAAAAGATCATTAATCACACAAGCGGAACTTCTTGCCTACTGCATACACTTCCAACAAATACCTCGACAGATGACAGTTGACAGTTGGCAGTTGGTATCTTTGGGGCCGGGGAAGGAAAGGGAGGATGGTTGCTGGTTTGTGTGTGTTTGGTGTGGAGGTTAAAGAGGCATGGAGTGGAGAATGCAAAATGAGGGGTCTTGGGGGGTATTGGTGGGAGTTGTGTATCTTTTCGTACATGTGTGTGGTATGTACGTATGTACGTATGTATGTACTTCTATATGGGAAGGTATTTGTGGACAAAATTGCGGGAGGCTTGTGTTTCGTACCGACTCGTACCTTGTACTCTGTCGTACAGATCGTCTCCTCCACGCATGGCCATCTCCCGTACGTGCTCATACGAGTATGTACGGCTTCCCCCAACTTCATACCTCCCCTCTTATTGTCCCTCCCCTTCCCCCTCCCTTTCCCCGCCACATACACATACAAATACACACACCCACACGCACGCGCACCTCGTAGGTTGCCCCCATCAGCGAGATTCACGATCTGCGTCAAGATCTGGAAGATATCAACAACATCGTCACACAGATCAAAGTACGGTAACTACATGTGCCGTACTTGATATTCGTCCTCTTCGTCATCACATACAACCAACCAAGGAGGCGCCCTCCAGTTTCATCTCCATGAAAGAATTAAGAATTCATGCCCTTGCCGTACTGTCTGTACAGCCTGCTTGTTAAAAGCGATGCTTCCTCTCTCTGCCCTATAAAGCACAAAATGAGTCCGAGGCAGTGATGTTACCGGGGGTTCTCCAGATTGGGATGAAAGCTTTTGCAGACTGGAGCGGAGTTAGCATGGTTCGTTGTTCAGTTGGTTGGTTGGTCAATTATTTCGTTAGTTGGTTGAGTTTCCCATATCTTCCCGGCTGTGCTCAACTCCCCCCAGGTGGGTCAGGGGATCCTCGGGGAGGCCGGGGAGGAGGCTGTACGGCGGCACATACACGCCACGCTGCTACCCGACCTGCAGCAGCGCCAGCAGCAGGACACAAGACGGATCCTGGGGTGAGGCGGTTGCGATGGTGGTTGTTCATTCGGTTAAGGCGGTTGAAACGGTTGCCTGTCTGGTTTCCGGGAGCCCGGTTTGGCCTCAACTTCAAATCAATAACAAACTTAACGACCTGTCGATTCCTCAGCGACTCATTGCGAGCGTTTCACTCTCCACTGGTGCCTTTGGTTCGTCCTTCCGTAATTGCAATCCGTACGACGGCAGATGGATGGACGAGCAGCTCGCTGACGTGTCTAAGGAGCTGTACATCATACGGCGAAACCAAGAGCGCATACAGTCCCGGATGGCGGAGCTGAACGGCGCTGGCGGCGGCGGTGGCGCTGCCGCCGCCGCCGGTGTTGCAGAAGCTGCCGCTGAGGATGCGGCGGCGGCCGCCGCCGCAGCGGCGCGCCTCGCCGCCACCGCCAGCTCGCTCCGTCCTCGTCATATTCCGGGACGGCCCATGTCGGCGTCCGCGGCATTAATGTCCGCGTCATCGTCGGCGGCGTTTGCGGCGTTGTACGGCGACGGTGAAGCCGTCGGTCTCACCGCCAGAGTGGAAGCGCTGGCGGAGCAGCTGTACTTCATCTCTGACACGTTGGGTGTACCGCTGGGAAGGAAGAGCCGGCCGGCGCAAGCACGGGCGAGGAAGCGCAACACCGCTGGCGGCGGCGGCGGCGGTACGGATGGCGGCGATGATGCCGCGGCGTCAGGCAGGGAAGCAGCGGCGGTGACGACATCCGGGCAGGGCGATGCCGGCGGCGGCGGCGACGACGGCGGCGGCGGCGCTGTGCAGAGCGCAGACGGCGGCGGCGGCAGCGGCGGCGACGACGTGGCGGCGGCGGCAGAACTGGACGGTCTGAACCTTAGCCTGCCATCGCTCTCGCAGCGGATACAGCAACTGGAGGCAGCCGTACATTCCATTGCTGCAGGGCAGCAGGCACTGGCAGCGGCCGCTGCCGTCACGACAACCATGGCGTCTGCCGGCGGCGGCGGCGGCGGTGGTGGCGCCGCCGCTGCCGTTGGATCCCTTCGAGGTTACGCATCGGGCCCGGCGATGCAGCTCGCTGGCTCGGCATCGGTGGCAGCCGCGTCGCCGCCACCGGCGGCAACTGCGGCCGCCGTACAGGGCCTCGTTGACGCTGCCGTCGCTGAACTGAAGCTGCGGCTGCGGCTAATTGAAAACGAAGTCCCACTTATGGCCCGAAGCTTTGAGGTGAAGGCGCTGAAGCGGATGCTGCATGATGCGACGGCGGCGGCGGCGGCGGCGGCAGCGGCGGGCGCACCGGCGGCGGCGCCGCCGTTGGGCATGTTCGACAGCAACAGCCGTACAAGCAGCGGCGTCATGGGGCTGCCCCCGCCACCGCTCAATAGGTTGCGTTCAAATGCCAGCGTTCGTGGTGGTGGAGGCGGCGGAGGCGGCGGAGGCGGCGGCAGCAATAGTTTGGTTTCGGGGCTTGAGTCTCAGATCAACAAGCGATTGAGTGAGTTTCTATTGCTGTACGGACGATGATAAGGCGCGTATAGCTATGCCGTACTTGGGTTGCCGTACACGTCGTGTTCTATTGGTTTCGGGTTTTAAGATTAGCACAATGCGATGGCGATTATTTTCTCTTTTGCAAAATGCCTTACCACGACTCTCTGCTGTAGTGTGACCCAGTAATAGTAATAATAATAATCATGACAGTAATAATAATCACTGAAGGAAACTCTTCTCAGTCCGCCGTACAATTACCCAATTTTTTCGAGTATGTACGGCATGTACGACAAGGTGTTTTTGCATCGCTTTGATGATCTGATTTGATCTGACCCGGCATGATCATCTCACAGACGCGCTGGAGCTGGCAGTTACGACTATGGACGAGCGTGGACGAGCACTGGAGCAAAGGTGGTCTAATCTGGAATTTAAATTGGGCAGCGCTAGCAAAGAAACTCACGGTGAGTTGCCGCGGCTTCAGGCCACCGTCTCGCAGCTCGCGAAGGATGTGCAGCGGCTGTCGCTGACGCAGAGCAGCGGCGGCGGCGGCGGTGGTGCCGGCGGCGGCGGCGATGACGGCCTTGGCGGTGGGAACGACAATCGCAGCCGTGGCGGCTCCCGCAGCCGCGGCCTTGGCGGCGGCGGCGGCGGCGGCGGGGCTGGCAGTATGTCGTACGTCGCCAACGCGAACTCCTCGTCTATGGCGGAGGTGGTGAATGTGGAGATTTCGGGTATCGCTCATGACTTGGCGGTGGCGGCGCACGAGGAGCTTCAGCGATCCCGGGATGGCCCCTTACCGGACGGGACTCAGGTAGGCGGGGAAAACTTAATAAATCCAAACATACATATTTAAAAAATAATAAATATTTAAAAAATAATAAATATTTAAAAAATAATAAATACTTTGAAAATGTTTCAGTATGTAATAAAATAATCTTGCAAATTTATGTATTTTACTTTGCAAAAATCTGCAAAATTCATCTGCAAAAAAATAAAATATTGCGAAAAAGATGTTCCAGGGCAAGGGAGGGGACCGAGGATTGCCCTCACTGCCGTATGGGCGATAAAAATACAGAATTGTCACTCCGTTCTGCCCACACCACCACAACTACCAACCGACCCACCGACCCACTGACCCACGACCCACTGACCCACGACCCACTGACCACGATCCACCGACCCACCGACCCACTGACCCACGACACTCCCCGGATCCACCCGCAAACGCAGGATGGCATTCCCACGCCCGCCGCCGTGGCCAACCGCGAGGCCGCCCTGGCTCGGCTGCGTCGTAAACCTCTGGAGGTCGCTGCTCACGTGGAGCTGCTGGAGAGCGTCAAACTACACTTGGACCGGCTCATGCGGCGGTCTACGGCATGTACGACAGACAGACTGGTGCTGCTGGCGGCTATGGGCGCTATGCGGATAAAGCTTCTGGAGAACGAGGCGGAGGCGTTCAGAGTGAGAGAAAAATAGATAATGATCTTGGTTTTTTAGGGTTTTAAGGTTTTCAAGGTTTTAAGGTTTTCTTTTAAGAATTTAATCTCTCCGGCTGCACTCGGCCTTTTCGAGGAAATCGGCATTCGTACAATGGACTCCCCCTCTCTGGCATTCGTACAATGGACTCCCCCTCTCTGGCATTCGTACAATGGACTCCCCCTCTCTGGCATTCGTACAATGGACTCCCCCTCTCTGGTGTTCTCTCCGCACGCACAGGAACAAATTATTGCGGTATTCCGCTCCCTGGAGCGAGCTTTCACTGCGTTGGTGAAGCTGCAGGAAGCTGTGGCCACCAAAAGCTCCGCCGCCGCCGTCGGCCAGCTGGCCACCATGCTGCAAGACGTGTCGGCGGGGCTGGCAACGCTGGCGGCGCACGCCGCCATTCGCGACAGCGCCGTCACCGGACCCATGGTACCACGCGGCGGCAGCGGTGCCGCCGCCGTCGCTGTGACGGCGGCTGCCGCCGCCGTGGAGCAGGTACGGCGGCGGCAGGGCTCCGCCGGCTCGAGTGACGTCGCGGCGGCGGCGGCTGCCGCCGCCAGCGGCAACTTAACGCTGCCAGCGCCGCTGGCGAACGGTCCGCTTGAGGAGACGCTATCGATGCTGACGGCGCGGGTGCCGTCGCCGACGTCGGTGATGCGCCCGGCGTCGCCAGTGAGGCTGGCGGGGCCGGGAATAAATACGGCAATTAATAGGCAGCACGCCGCGGCGGCACGTGGGGGTGGAGGTGGCGGCGGCGGAGCCGCCGCCGCCGCGGCGGCGGCGCTTGGCGGCGGTGTACGACTAACGTCAACGCAAGGGACACCTGTGGTGACTGTACTGAACCAGTCCTGGTGAGTGGCGCCTTGAAGTGTGCGGTGCAGTGCCTCAGTGGGGCTGGTTGTCTGTCTATCTGTCTGTCTGTCTGTCCATCTGTCTGTCTGTCTGTCTGTCTGTCCATCTGTCTGTCTGTCTGTCTGTCTGCCTACCTGTATCTGTCTGTCTGTCACATGACATGTTTTTTGGAGGAGACATTGGCATATACCTGTGTCTTGTGCACTGGTAGGGAAGCAGCAACGTGGGGTAACGTCGTTCCGGCGGCTTAGCCGGTTCCCTTTCTTGTTGACCATAATAAACTCGACCAACAAATATGCAATTAGTCTGCCGCCCTGTGGCGCCGCCATTCGGCCTTGACCCCACATGCGGAGGCGGTAAAGCTCCGTGATGGTGTTTTGGACCACGACACAGCTGCCGTGCAGCTGTGTCGTACATATGCACTCTCGCACGCTCCCATCTCCCAGCCCATATCAAAGCTCCATAAGGCCCATGGGCGGCTCCCTCTGTAAGGTTCTCAACCCCCCACCCTCGCCTGACCTCAACTCCCCATGCACCGCCGTAGTCGAACCGCCATCTAATATTAACTATATATACATCTATATATGTATTCTATTATATTTAGTTTACCCTAATTAAAAAACGTAAAATTAAAATTAAAAATGATATATTACATATTTTTACATATTAATTTTTCTTTTCGCCACGTCTCCCTTCCTAAGGCCCGGACCCAAGCCGCCCACACCCGTCATCTCCAACATGGCCAGCGGCCCCGTCGTCACGCCCCTCCTGGTGCCCAAGACCTCCCCCGCCGCCTCAGCCATGCTGGGCGGCGGCAGCGGCGGAGGCGGCGGCATGGGGACGAGTTCAGGGCAAGGGGGTCCGCGGAGTAACGGAAGCCTGGCGGGCAGCCAACACGGCGGCGGCGGGGCAGACGCGTCGTCACCGCGGCCTGACGGCGGCGGAACTGGTTCCGGAGCCAACAGGGTTTGGTCGGGGCGGCGGCCCGGCAGTGGTGTCGTCACGGGGTTGCATGTGGGCATGTCGGTAGGGTCAAACGGCGGCGGCGGCGGTGGTGGCGGTGGTGGTACGGCACAGGCGACGACGTCAACAGCGGCTTCCGGGCGGACGTCAGGCCTTATGTCGTCGTCGGCGTCTGGAGGCGCTCCATCGTCTGGTGTCCTGGGGCTACCGTCTATAGGCGGTTCAGGAGTGGGCGCCAATCGTAGTGGGCCGTCGAGTCGAAACTGAATTGTACGGGTAGCAGTAGTAGCAGTAGCAGGAGGCGGCATGCTGTGGTAGTCCGGATTGTCCTGGGTGCGTGTGTATGAATGTATGTATGTATGTGTGTTTGGCGAGCGAGGGGGAAAGAGAGCGAGAAAGAGCGGGGTGGGGCCGACGGCGGAGGCTGCCCGTAGCGCCCTCCGGAAGTGAATCAAACGCTGCTCGGCTGCTACTGCCACTAACCACCGACGCCGTTACCGCAGCAGCAGCAGCAGCAGAGGAGCAGCAGCAATTCGCAGCGGTGAGAAGAAGTCGCGCCCTGGTCGCAGGAGGGAGGTCTGGGGCCCTCGCAGATGAGTCACCTGACGAGGCCATCCTTCGCAGTTTTGGTTGCAGGCGGCAGCAGGGGGAGGGAGGGAGGGGGGAGGGGGGAGAGCTGTGTCCATTTCGCAAAACCGCGGATGCAGGTTGGCTGGCTTGGCTTTATTGTTGGCTTTTATATCTCAACTTTGACCTTCATATTTTGGGTTTTATTCCGGGTTTTATTCCGGGTTTCACTTCTCGGGTTTAATTGCGGAACGCCTCCCCGGGCGCAATGGTTCGACGTGGTTAACTGAATCTCTTTCGTCTACGGTTGGGCAGTTGGGCAGTTAGGCAGTTGGGCAGTTAGGCAGTTGGGCAGTTGGGCAGTTGGGCAGGAGGGTGGATCGGGGGCGTGGAGGTCGCCCTGGGCGGTGTTGGCCGACCCCCGGTGCACCTTGCCCTGCCTGCTGCCCCGCACCCTACCTGCCTGCCCAGCTGCCTGCCTGCCTGTCGTACATCACGATCCCAGCGCTCTTTGCACGCCTGTGGGTTAGTGGACATACCTATTGCGCAACATATAATTGTGTCTGTAATGTCTGTCTGTCTGTCCATCTGTCTGTCTGTCTGTCTGTCTGTCTGTAGCCCGGGGCTCATGCCGGTACGGGGGTAAGGGTTTTTCCTCGCCCTGCAGCAGCAGCTGGACAAACAGACGGACAGACAGATGGACAGATCGGACAGCAATTTGCTGTCCTGGTAATTGGAGAGTTGCTTGGTTGCATTGGTGAAATGCGTGGCACGACCAGGACGTATGTTTGCCTGTATGTATGTACGCAAGGCTTGTTCACATGATTAATGAGCACTTACGACAGACTAGTGCTATGATGTGCTGCATGGATGAGTGCGTGCGTATGTGCGTGTATGTGCGTGTATGTGTGTGTATCTATGTATGTATGACTTAGATTACACTGTGGGCCGCGAGAGCCGGGGGCCGAAGCCGAAACACAGCGCAAGGGTCGGGAGCACACAGCACAAGTCGGTTAGTCTTGTGTGCTCCCGACCCCGACTCAGACTGCCAACACTCTACGCAGCCACTCCGCAGCCACTCCGCAGCCGCTCCGCAGCCACTCTATCCGGGGATGGCGCTGCAGTGTAAACACCACGAAGGGCTCTCAGGTCCAGGTCAGGCTCTCAGGTATGTACGTATATATGTATGTATGTACGTCTGGAGAGGAATGGTTGGCTGGGATGGCCGTTTATGGTGGCTACGTTTCGGCCTGAGAAGCCGGGAGCAGTACAGTACAGTACAATATCGTACAGTACGACAGCTGAAGAAGTACTGTGCAGGGGTTGACGGGCGAATGCGTACGCACAGCAATAAGTCAGTCTTGTGTGCATGTCCGGCCGAGTGAGGGAAGTGCGGGTTCTATACACACACGGCCTCTGCTTGTCTACTTAGCCATAGTATGTGCGCTGCTGTATATTGGGAAATATGTATGTATGTATGTATGTATGTATGTATATGTCTCCATACGAAGACCCCAAGGTCTATCTGCTGTGACCTGGCGTGTGCTTACGCACACTGCTTGTATGCGCGTATGTATGTATGGATGTGTGCGGCGGGGTCGCAAACGCGCGCCGTTTGTTCTTGTGTGTATCTGTGTGTATGTGTGTACGGCAGTACATATCACTGTTTCGTTCTGCAATACTTTATGCTGCTAAATGGCGGCAGCACTACACCCCGTATACCTGGGGAACGTCCTTGTAGGGGGTTGGATTCCGGTTAGGATGCATGCATGTGGAGGTAGTTGGAGGTACAGCTGTGGCAGATTGAGCAGTACAACACACGTGGCATGCGGCACGCGGCAAGTGATGTTTGGTTGACGGATGGACGTCGTCTGTAATGTTCCTATGCTGCCTATTCAAGCTCCTTCAGAAATGTGGTGGGATCGAAAGACCCCGAGTGATGGGTTGTAAGCCGTTTTAACGACTGCTCACCGGCGGAAGTACGACAAAACGCAACGAATTATGCGAGGCGAATACCGACAGGCGGACAGGGAAGCAATACAACGTAACGGCGAATGCTCGTTACATCGTCGGCCGGTATTGCTGGTTTGGTATAGAGGGTAGGACACAAGGTCGGGGAGAGCAACTCTTTGGACTGCCCCGGTCGCACAATTCCTGTGCTTCCCTAATTCGGCACCCCGAACAGGCCAATTCGATACCCTGTCAGGCTAATTCAATACCCTGTTAGGCCAATTCGGCACCCGGACAGGCCAACTTAGGCCCAGTACAGTACAATTCCGGGGCTCCACAGCGCAATTCGAATACCTCCGGCGAGCCTGCCAGAACAATTCAAGACCCCAACGGACCAATTCTTTTGTCAGGATCAAAATCCAGGCTAATTCTGCGACAGAGCTCTTCTCCAATTCCAGCCCGGATCCTACCCTCCTTTTGGTATTGCTGGATGCAGCTTGCATGGCTTCGCGACTGCTGCTGAAAACGTACTTTGTACTAGTGCAACTCATCACCAGCCCTAGGAAATTCATGCGAATAAAAGCGCGGTTAGTCGTCCTTGCCGCGGGTGTCTACGAGGTTGTTTCAATCAACAAGCTTTCAACAAGCTCTTGCGGAAACCTGCCTGTCGAAAGAAACACTCGGGGAGCGCGGATCCCCTCATAGAAATCGTGTGTTTTGTAACGGTTTTAAAATCGTTACGATAAATTTATCGTAACGATCCTTCAATCCCAGCAAGGCTTTGAACGAGGGACGACCTCTAGCTGTTGGCGGCTGCACGCTTCGCGCGGTTGCTCTTTTGCTTCAAGGCTAGACATAAGCCAGATAGACTGAATGCATGAATGTATGATGTTGTTACAGGGTGGTATAGCTTCACCAGCGGCCCCCTTTCCCGAGGCAGTTCCCTGCTCTCCCTTGCGAGAGGGGCACCCTAATCCATTCAACCCATCCGACTTCAGAGTTTATTCGTTGGGTTCAGCAACTCACCACCAGCATCCAACCAAATCTAGCGCGATCAACGGCGCCACAACTTAGTTCCTGCTCAGCTCGCAAATTGCTATAATCACGTCCTACACCGTCCACAAGTTGGGGGTCCACCTCCCAATTCAACACCACTCACACACAGGCAGGCGAATTTGACCCGGAACCTCCGGGAGAACAAGTCAGCCAGCCACCTGCCATATGAATGTATGTATGTATGTGCATGCATGCATGCATGCATGCATGCTATTCAGCACGTGCGGCTCGAATGACGCAAACGAAATTTACTCCGTAAACCAAACTGGCATCGTATGTAGCTTTTTTTGCCTTAAGGTCATATTACCCCTCCCGCTAGGTAGGACCTTACCCTTACTTAAAGGGGGTACCGATGGGCTACCCCCGGGGGGTGCAGGCAGGGGGGTTATCCACGGGCCTTGGAACCGCTCATTGTTCTCGTTAAGGCAGGACCGCTAATTGCTCGTACAAGCAGCAGATGTAACGGACACACATAGACACACGCACAGACACACACTCACAGACAGACACACAGACACACACGCACAGACAGACGCACACACACATACACAAACATACATACACACATGTTCTCGCAGGCTTGCTCACCTGCCGCCCCTATCTCTGTCAGTAGACAGAGATCAAAATCATTCAATCTCCCAATACTATTCTCCGGCGTGAACGTGAATATTCAATTAACCTCGCTCCTCGCAATCACATTCTCTCGGGTGCCCTTAGGTGCACTATCGCTACTACACTCGGATTGTCCAGTCAACCATGACGCGCAGGGATACTAACTTAGCCGGGAGCGGAATCTACATATAACCCTAAGCATTGCAAATTGGGATTCTCATTAGCTGACGTGCGCGCGGCCAGGGTTTGAGCACGTGATTTTGTGCCCATAATGCTTCTGCTCTCTCCAGCGATTTAGACAACATGCAGATTAGGCGACACGAAGTTTAGGCAACATGACGAATTCACGGCTTGCACAGAATGCACAGAATATAATATATTATGTGTATGGGCCGACGTCAGTGTGGTGTGACAATATGTCGCCACATGCCCTGCTGCAGCGCACCAGCCACTACCGATGTAGTAGCTGGCCGCTGGAAAGTTGCCTCTCAACAAGTTGCTGGGGTGCCGAGCGCCTTAGCGCGTATTTGTAAAAGATCTTACATGTGTTGTGCTGGACTTTGTGTACCAGCTTCTACAGCCGCCGGATCCTCTACCGCGCACACACACGCCTCATCATCATTCACGGCGGGGACTTAGTAATATATCAGCCGTCAGCATACATATATTATTTATGAAGGACCCCGTTCTGCTCGTTAGTGCAAGGATTTCATGGCGTTTGACGCCATCGGTCGCAGGGCCCACTTGTAAATAGTCATCGGGACTACGTGCTGCTGTACCTATATATAGGTAACATCCTCCGATATATCCTGTATCCAGTCTTGAATGTATATGGGATTTGCTGCTGGAAGAGTGCTGATGACCTCGCTGCGAGCGCCGCTGCTATCACATCACATACAGTAAGCCTTATGCATCGGTTGCAGGCTCCACTCTGTTTTTATCGTTATTTATTTATTTATTATCATTATGCATACGCACACTACTCTTGCACACGCGTGCACAGCACGCAGCAGGCACACACACAGGAAGCAATATATAATAATAAGCTCAATAAAATGCGTTTATTTTTAAAGCTATAATATATGCATAAATCGTCCAAACGCATCCTTGCGGAGCATGGAGCTAGTACTACAGCTGTCATCATACTTCCGTAAATTTTTTATCACCTATAGAACACGCCCTCGTATAATAGATAGGGACGGTCCCCTCAAGCAACAGCTGCTGGACATGGCAAAGAATCCATCCACACAGTAACTAACCCCGTGACATGGCCTTCTGTTATATCACGACTGCATCCGCCGATCGGTATTTCGTCGTGATATAACGGATTCCGTGATCTTCCCAGCTGGGAATACTACACCGTCCGCGACACCTCCGCCCTATCTCTGCAGCGTGGGCAAGTAACCTGCTGAGTGCGAAAGCACGATGAAACCACATTTGACGATTATGCATTATTGTTATGCATGTTCATTCCTGAAATTTGAGAAGTTTGCCATATCCGAATGAAGATAATGGATTGATGGGTGATCGCCAGGTAACATACATACATACATACGTACCTGCTGGAGATAGGTAGGTAGGTAGGTAGGTAGGTAGGTAGGTAGGTAGGTAGGTAGGTGATAACAAGCGCGGAGGTGGAACTGCTGCTGCTGCCGCATCGAATGGACTGCCATCGATAATGGATGTGGGTGGGTGCTGGTGCGGGTGCAGCTGCGGTCGGTGTTCATGACTTCTGCAGACAAGGTGCTGCTGCCTCGCTCAGCGGATAGATAGATATGTAGCAAAATAATACCCCGAACAACCCATCAGGATGTTTATACATACACCAGCCACTGTACGCCATGTATATATGTGCTGTATCGATGTATGTATGTATGAATGTATGTATGTATGTAACAGCAGCGCAATGCGTTGATCATCATGGTTGCCGTGTTTTCCTACACTATTCTTCATTCCGCCCGCCGAGCAAAACGAGCGTCATCAGCAGCTGCCTGCAGCTGCCTACACACGCACCCAGCCGACCAGCAGCCATATAGCAACGCAGCTGGGCAGCCCACCCGTGCACGCGTGTGGCCAATCGGCCTGGCCTGCCAGCCTCTGCTGCCAGCCTCTGCTGCCAGCCTCTGCTGCCAGCCTCTGCTGCCAGCCTCTGCTGCCAGCCTCTGCTGCCAGCCTCTGCTGCCAGCCTCTGCTGCCAGCCTCTGCTGCCAGCCTCTGCTGCCAGCCTCTGCTGCCAGCCTCTGCTGCCAGCCTCTGCTGCCAGCCTCTGCTGCCAGCCTCTGCTGCCAGCCAGCAGCCGCTCCCCGCGCTCAGCATGCATGAACTGTATGTTCGCAGTATGTGTATCAGTAATCATCAGTACATCCCAATCTGCGCGAAAAAAAGCTCGCTCGCCCCAAAGGATCCGTCAGTTCACCAAGAAGAATGCCCTAGCCCTAGCCCTGCTGCCAGCTGGTGTTGTATCACGTCTAATCGCAGGAAAAGAACCGATCGGCGGATGTCAATGCCGTGATACCCAGGATACTACAGCTGGCCATGGCGACCACGTGGTGCGGATGTGCCTGTGTGTTTTTCAGTATGCAGTTGGCCTCTCACCCATGCGCACATACATATATACATACAATACATAAATGCATACGTAGATACATAGGTACATAGATACATATATCATGGCCCCCTCGCGCCCGCCTCCCACCTACATCGGCTCATTGCACCTGCTCGCATATATTCCCATACACTCACACTGCGTCTGCAATGCATACACTCATGTGCACATCACACTCATCACCACCGTTCAAAAAGTCGGCATGCATTTCATGAAGCTTGAATGTAATTCTACATCGGGCAGTTGTGCATTTATCACTCGTGCACGCATGCCTGTAGTTTTTTCTCATAAAGACTCTCAGGCATCATCACCGACTCCACCACACCACGCATATACACGGCGGTGATGATGATAATCCAATTGCAAAGGCGGTGGTCAACGCGATGTCTCCTGGGATTGTTTCCATGGCTACACAAGTCGGTTACGTTAACGTTGGTATCATTTTGGACAATGACAAACATACATACATACATATATGTGCACATGCGTACATACATCGTACCTAATCAACTTCTAGCTTCCTGACCTACGTTTCAGCTGCACTGATGTACATCATACCGTACAACTGCAAAGTGTCATACTCACAACCACGCGCGCGCCCCGGCTTGGCCCCTCCTTCATTTATTCATACGTACAACCTCCCGCTAGACCCCCATTTTGCTACATGCATGCATGCATGCATACATACATACATACATACATACACCTCGGATGTACAGACAGACAAATAGACAGACAGACAGAGAGGCAGACACAGGCACAGACAGACACAGAGAGAGAGACACACAGACAGACAAACAGACAGACACCTTCGGGAAACCATAGCCCTCATCCAAAGCTCACTCGGACTCGTACGGCACATTCGGGCGCTCTTTAGTAGTAGCCATGGGGCTTGTGGGGGTCGGGAACGCAGGCAGCAGATACGTGTCGTACGTGCCGGCATCTTTTCCGCTCACCGCCACCTCCCACTCCGTCCATCGTCCGTACAATCGCGCTCACCATCACTCGAAATCTTCACCTCCGCTCC